CCTACAGTATTTAGTACAGTAACATGCTGTATAGATTTGCAGCCTGGGAGTAATCGGCTATCCCTTACAGCCTAGGTGCACCGTAGGCTACACATCTAGGTTTGTATAAGTGCACCCTATGATGTTCACACGAGAATGAAATTACCTAAGGATACATTTCTCAGAACATATCCTTGTTGTTAAGTGACACATGACTGTAATTAAACTCAAATTTTGAAAACTACTGATTTTCCTCATGACTGCAATGCCCTTTACTGATCACTATAAAAAGTCCCTTTCCTATCATTCTCATGTTTGAAATAAGGCAGAAAAATGACATCAAAAGAGAACAAAACCTGGGACTGACTCACTACCAGAAAACAGAATGGACACGGATAAGTCATTGATTTTCTCTGTCCTCATTTGTTCTATGGGTATTAGACCAGACATTAGGCAAGGTCCCCAGAAGCTCTGCCATTTAAAGCTTCTAGACATAAAGATTCATCTAATAACTATGACCAGAGTTGCCTGAGTTTATAATACCAAGAAGCAGTATTGTACAATTGAAAGGGCAGTGGGTCTTTGGTATCCGTCTGACTTTAAATTTGAATCTGGTTGTGCAGCTTGCAAGCTGTGAAACCTCAAGTGAGTTGCTTAACATTTCTGAGACTATGCTTTTTCATGTATAAAGTAGGATAAATAAAATATATCCTTAAAGTTGCTTTAAGGCTTCAATTAAATGACTGGGAGCTCCTACCCCAGTGTCCAAAAATTAGTGAGTTCCCGACTTCTCTCTATGTCCTTCACATATTGAATTAAAATAAGAAAAAATTTTGGTGATGTACTCTTTCCTGAAGGAAGAAATAATTTATAAATGCATCATTTTGAGAAAAGCTTCGTTAAATGACTACTGCGGTTTCCACCCAAAAGAAAGGAAATCAGTATATTGAAAAGGTGTCTGTACCCCTACGTTTGTTGCAGCACTGTTTACGATAGCTAAGATTTGGAAGCAACCTAAGTGTCTATCGATGGATGAACAGATAAAGAAAATGTGGTACATATACACAATGGAGTACAATTCAGCCATTAAAAAGAATGAGATTCAGTCATCTGCAACAATATGGATAGAAATGGAGGTCATTAGGTTAAGTTAAACAAGACAGGCACAGAAAGAGAAACATTGCATGTCCTCACTTATCTGTGGGATCTAAAATCAAAACAAACTCAAGGACATAGAGAGTAGGATGGTTACCAGGGGCTGGGAAGGGTAGTGATGGGGGGTTAGGATGGTTAATGGGTACAAAAAAGTAGAAAGAATGAATAAGACCTACTATTTGATAGCACAGCAGGGTGACTATATCGTCAATAATCAGTGTACATTTTAAAATAACGTAAAGAGTGTGATTAGGTTGTTTGTTACTCCAAGGATAAATGCTTGAGGGGATGGACACTGCATTCTCCATTATATGCTTATTTCATATTGCAGGCCTGTATCAAAACATCTCATGTACCCCATAAATATATACAGCTACTATATATCCACAAAAATTAAAAAGAAAAAAGGCAAAGTTCACCTTCTCCTATTTCAAAGGAAATTAAAACCCATGGAGGTTAGTTCATACCCCTTTGTGATTTAGGTGAAAAATCAGCAGAATACAAAAGATCATATGAATTTAGAGTTAGACGAATCTTGGCACTGTCATTTATTAGAGATATACCCCTGGTCAAATAAATTAACCAGTGTTCTTCAGTTTCCTTCATAATAATACCCACCTGCAAGGATATATGGGACTTTCTAAGTCCCATATGGACTTTACTGTATAGAAAACACCTAGAGCAATGTATAGCAGTAGAAACTGAATAGCGATAATGATAGTACAGATTCCATTCATTACTATTTGCTTTCCCATTGACTAGTAGAATGTGAGCTATCTTAAAGTTAGAGATGTGCAAAGGAAAAGCTGTAATATCTATCCAAGTTTATTTGAGAAAAATAGTACAAAAATAAATACAACTCACATATGCCACTCATTACATTTTGGTTTAAACTAGGAAAAATATGCCATGGAATGTGTGTGTATGTGTGTGTGTGTGTGTGTGTGTGTGTGTGTGTGTGTCCCCTACAAAGATTTTATATCTGACACATCTTCCTGGTTCAACTCCTACAATAAGAATATTCTTTTTGCCAGGCACGGTGGCTCACGCCTGTAATCCCAGTACTTTGTGAGGCCAAGGTGGGTGGATCATTTGAGGTCTGGAGTTCAAGACCAGCCTGACCAACATGGTGAAATGCTGTCTCTACTATAAAGACAAAAAAATTAGCCAGGCATGGTGGCACATGCCTGTAATCCCAGCTACTCAGGAGGCTGAGGCAGGAGAATCACTTGAACCCAGGAGGCGGAGGTCACAGTGGGCCAAGATTGCATCACTGCCCTCTAGCATGAGTGACAGAGTGAGACTGTATCAAAAATATATGTATATATATTCTTTTTGCAGAGTGTCTCAGTGCCAAAACAGCATTTATAAAACTCTCCACTGTGGGGATGGAAAAGACTGGTTAGTTTTAACAAAGATATGTTATACACAAAGGGAAGGATGAATTTTAATGACTTATAAATTGCATAACTGGTAGTTCGAAATATAAAACTCAGAGTAATCACATTTTCAATTAATTATATCAATTAATTATAAACCATAATTTATTTATATATGAATATTACAGAATGTCTACCCACTTGAAATATTTTTAGTGTCATTTTTTCAAGCTGAAAGCCTGAAACAAACTTAACGTTCATTATTAGATGAGATACTGTATAAAGGTGAAATATACAACAGTTCAGGTAAAAGGAAGACTTCACTTATTTCCTATATATCCTTTAGGGGTCTCTCTTAATCATGTTCCCTGCTGTGTTCCATTCATTCCAAACTTTTCACCATTTTATGTGTTCATCTAGCCCCACTATCTTCCACCTAATCATGTCCCCAGTTTTTCTCCCCTATTATTAAGTTGAATTTTCTCTTTCCCATAGGAAATAACAGGACAGTGCACATGTGTGTGTGTCTGTGTGTGTGTGTGTGTGTGTGTGTGTGACATGTGCATGCATGTGTGTGTGGTCTCTTGTCAACGGATTCCATACTAGGGCAGCAGTTCTCAATTTTGGCTGCATCTTGAAACCTTCTGAGATGTATTTACAATTTTTAAACTACTGATGCTGATTGGGTTAGTCTGTGCTATACTTGGGCACTGGGAATTTTGCACGTTCCCACACAATATTCTGATGTGCAGCCCAGGTTGAGCATCACTGTGCCAGAATGTGGAAGCTTCTTTAATTTCTTTTCCTTTCAATTCTGTATTTATGCTGCATATTTTGGTTCTACAGCTGGATTAAAAATAAATTATTTTGATGACAGTAACTCTGAGTTGTGCCATTTTTGGAAATGTTTCACTTAGTAGTTATGGCCCTGATTTGGCTTAGATTTATGTGGTTGTCTCTGGACAAATGACATTTGGGAAGTCGGCATAAGTACTCACTCCAGTCACTCCAGCCCTGCTTCATGCCTTCCTAAAACCATAGGACAACAGGTAGAGATTTCCAAGATCTGGAAAGGGCAGCCTTAATCCTAGATTCACCATTTGCAGGTCCAGCCTGTACCTGGCCATCCTGAAGTTGGAGATAACCATTTCTATGGACAACTCCATCAGAGGCCAAAAAGCCAGGCCTGTGAAAAATAAAGTCCTTTCTGGTCACCAGCAGGAAACCAGCCAATCTCCCTCAGCTTCTGCAGATTTTTTTTCTATTTTTATTTATTATGAGCATTTCTTACATGGTCATTTTTCTGAATCTCTCCTTACAATTTCTCTGGCAGTATGAATTTTCAGGACCATCTTAGAGTTGAAATATATGAGTAAAGGCCAAGAAGGTATTTGAATTGAGTTCATTGAGGCCCATTTTGTTAGTTGGCTATAGCTGCCATAACAAAGTACCACAGAGTTGGTGGCTTAAAAAACAGAAATTTATTTATTGTCTTGCAGTTCTGGAAGCTACAAGCCTAATGCATCTGTAGGGCTGATTTCTTCAATGCATCTGTAGGGCTGATTTCTTCTGAAGGTTCTCCCTGTGGCTTGTAGATGGCATTCTTCTCCCTCTGTCTTCACACAGTCTTCCCTCTACGTATTTCTGTGTCCTAATCTCCCTTCTTACAAAGACACCAGCCACACTGGATTAAGGCCTACCCATGTGACTGCATTTTATCTCAATTACCTCTTTAAAGACCCTGTCTCCAATACAGTGGCATTGTGAGGTACTGGGGGTTAAAACTTCAGCATATGAATTTGGGGAAACACAATTCAGACCATAACAGCCATGATAAAAGAGTTTATTTCCCTCAGCTGGGATCCTTGTATGTATGAATTCATGACCAAAATGATTGGTTTTACCTTCTCCAGCAAGTGAGCAGAGCCTGACTTTCTGGGAGATACAGATCCCTGTCATTAAAAAATTCTGTGATGAATGTAGCTGGTAATCAAATTGAACTCAAAAAAAATATAAAGGCTCTGAAAAGAAGTGCAGAACCCATTAAGTTATGCAGTGAATAAAGGGAAAATGTAAAATAATTTTCCTGATTTTGTGAAAACTATATTTCAGACAATCTGGGAGAAGTTTGAGTTAAAATTGTCCCCTTTATAAACATTCTGAGTTTGTTTTTCTTGTCAGGATACAGTTCCAATTAAGAGTTTGGAATATATGGTCATCATACAACTGTCTTAGCCGGCTTCTTTTGCTATGTTATTTATTTGGATTAGGAGACTGTACCAATCCCCTCATTTATGCAGAGGACTTCAATTTGCACTCACAGACTGCCTGCTTTAAAGTATTTTTGTGGTTCTCAGTGTAGGGGACTTTTTCAGTCACTTTCTTCAGGTAATTCACCTAATAGTTCCTTCTGGAAAATGTGGGTTTTCCAGATCTTGCCTGAGTCCATCAATCCATTAAAATTGTGGTATAATGGCAAGGACTTACCTTGAGGTTTGGGCTTGGTCAGTTTGCCACAGGGCTTGGAGATGGTGACCGTCTTCTGGCATTCGGCATTGTGCAGGGCTCGCTTCAGACTTCCAGTTCTGGTCTTCAGGGCCGTGTTCAGGTCACATTCTCCCCAGGCCTGGAACTGGTATTTGCACTCCGCTAAAGGCAGGGTAGAACCAAACAGAAATCCTTGAAAGATCCTATTGTACTTCCAGGATAATAAAGGCACTCTTTTGTTTGTAACTTTTTTTATTGAAATAATTATAGATCCATGTGCAGCTATAAGAAATAATACAGAATGTATGCGTGTGTATTGAGTTCTGTTCAATTCTATCACATGTGTACATGCATGCAATCACCATCAATATACACCATTAATATACATTAATATACACCACTAATATACAGTCCCAACACAACACTGGGTCATTCTTTATAGTCATGGCCTGGCCACCTTCCTCCTTCCCCACTTCCTTAATCCCTGGCAACTCCTAATCTGTTCTCTAGCTCTATCATTTTTCTAACTGAAAAATGTTGCATAAATGGAATTCTACACTATGTAAACTTCTGAGATCGGCTTTCTTTTTTACTTAGCATAATTACCTGAAGATCCACCCAAGTCGGGTGCATCAATAGTCTGTTTCTTCCTATTGCTGAGTAGTACTCTACAGTGCCAATGTACCCTGGTTTGTTTAACCATTTATCAGTTGAAGGACATCCGAGTTGTTTCCAGCTTTGGGTTATTACAAATAAAACTCCTGCATAAATTCATGTATAGGTTTTTGTGGAAACATAAGTTTTCATTTCTCTGGGATAAATGACCAAGAAACTGCTGTGTTACATGGTAAATGCATGCTTCATTTTGTAAAAAACTGCAATACTCTTTTTCCACTGCGGCTTTACCACATTACAATTTCCACTGGCAACATATAAGGGATCTGGTTTCCCTGCACCCTCACTAGCATTTCGTCTTGTCACTATTTTTTATTCTAGCCACTTTTATAGATGTAGAGTGATCTCTCATTATGGTTTCAATTTCTAGTTCCCTAATAAGGAAAAGATGTTGAATACATTTTCAGGAATTCATTTGTTGCCTATATATCCTCTTTGGTAAAAGGTCTGTTAATGTTTTTTCCCCACTTTCTTACTGAACTGTTAAGTTTTGTTTGTTTTGTTTTGTTGTTTTGTTTTTGTTGCTGTTGTTTTGTTGTTTACTGTTGAATTTGAGAGTTATTTAATATTTTCAATATAAGTCTTTAAGATAGACCGTTTAAACTTTTTGAAAATAGGTTTTTGAGGTGCCCAGATACAGTTTAAGACCAAATGTACCTGTTCTCCATCACACTTTTATAGAACTTATCTATCTCCATTCAAATAGAAAATACCCCAAAGATTACAGAGGGAGAAAAAGATGTACGTGTATACATCCATTGTTCTTCCTCACTTGTCTATGGGCCACAGTGCATTTCCACAGAACACAGGTAGGACATTTCAGGAATCATGTCCCCAAAGACAAAAAGTCTGGATCGTGGAAGAAAGAGGTTATTTGAGGGTTCAATATTGGATATAAAGTTGAAAGTGTTGACAGATCCTGTCTCAGATAGATAGATCAGGCCAGCATAAGACTGACTCTAGCCAGTGGGAGAAAGATCTATGAAAAGTGACTGTGAGCAGCCCTGCTGGACTCAATAAGTGAATCTGTGAACCTGTGTGGAGGGTGGGGAGGGATCAAATGAGAGAGAAGGCCTGAAAGTGACAGGGAGGGACATGGAGAAGAAGGGGAATAAACAAGAAAAGGGGAAAGGAAAAATCAAAGGAACTTAGAAATAGAAGAAAGGAGAGAGAAGATATATCAACGAACATTATTAGGAGGAATCAAGGATATATTTTATGTCCCTTTGGAAAGGCAGTGGTTCCCAATCAGGGATGATTTTGACCACAAGGAGACATTTGGCCATAGATATTTGGAGACATTTTTAGTTTTCACATCTGGAGTGGGTGAGGAATCCTACTGGAAACTAGTGAGTAGAAGCCGGGGATGCTGCTAAATACCCTAAAATGCACAAGACAACCTCCACAACAAAGAATTGCCTGGCCTGAAATGGGACCAGTGTCAAAGTTGAGAAACACTGGGGTTGGGAAAGATATCTGGTCACTTTGTATCTGATAAGATAAAGTTATTTAAAATAAAAAAGTACTCATCCTTAAAAAGACATTTGGTGGAAAAATTTGAGAATTATCTTAGGGTAGGAGATTAACTCAGTAGCATGAAGCTTACCTCCAAATTGCTTCTTCCAGTTGCAGGGGATCTTACATCTCTGGGTCTTCATGGTTTGCTTGCACTCGGCTCCAGTCCGAGTGCCTTCCCGCGTGCCCAGTCCACAGTCTCCACTGGTGGGCACACACACACTCCACTGCCATTCTCCACAGTCAGACTTTTTCACTTTTTTTTCTGAATGAAAGGAAGAAAACCTAATCAACATACAGAAAACTCCTTAACTTCCAGATATAACCAAGTTCATTCCTGAGAACCTTAATTGTAGGATCTGTGTGTTTTTTTTAATCTCTATCCTTATTGTCCAGTGAATAATAGAAATATGACGAATATTAACCAAAGTATTGAACCAAAGAATGATCAAGAGAAGAGAGAAAGAAAACTGAGAAAAGAGCTAAAACTAGTATTAATTTAACTCCCTCTTACTATGTGCCAGAGACTTTGCTAAGTGACTTAGTGGCATCTCCTTTTAGAAGCAAATATTTCTATAAAAGAAGAGATGATCAAAAATAGTTAAGCCTAAAAATTGAGAAAATATTCTATTAGAAATGACAGTTGTCAGCCGGGCCCAGTGGCTCATGCCTGTAATCCCAGCACTTTGGGAGGTTGAGGCAGGCAGATCACAAGGTCAAGAGATCGAGACCATCCTGGCTAACATAGTGAAACCCCAACTCTACTAAAAATACAAAAATAAGCTGGGCGTGGTGGTGCATGCCTGTAGCCCCAGCTACTTTGGAAGCTGAGGCAAGAGAATTGCGGGAGATGGAGGATACAGTATGTTGAGATTGCACCACTGCACTCCAGCCTGGTGGCAGAGCAAGACTCCATCTCAAAAAAAAAAAAGAAAGAAATAACAGTTGTCAAATGAGCCATTTCAGTGCAAGTTATTGTTCCTTTCTCTGTCTTGTAGAAGGAATGACATCATACATATATGGTGGATCACAGATTTAAACAGACTGTCAGTTCCACAGCCTACTTATGACTTTGAGAGTGGCGTAGAGAAGGTGCTTTAGCTTCTCTGTGCCTCAGTTTCCTCCTCTGTAAATCTGAAATTAAGGAGAAAAACAAGTTGCAGTGCATTTTTTTTTTTTTGAGGTAGAGAGGTAACATAATAAAGCACCTGATTGCTGGTCAATGTTCTATACATAGTAGCTGCTAATTTGATCATTATATTAATGACCATCATCGTCATGCAATCCAGGACTTGCAATGGGAGACAGGATATTTCTTAGGTTCCTCTAAATAATTATTTTTAAAAAGGGAAGATTGAAGGAATACAGGAATAGGAAGGGAGAGAGGCAGAGTAGAAGAGATGAAGGAAAAGCAGGTAATTAGGCTAGATGGACATTAATCAATGAAGCATCTTGCCTTCAGAACCCTACTGCTTACCTGGTTTCTCTTTCTTCCCTGCTTCAGCAGTATCCACAGCTGCCAGTATGAAAATGAATGCCAAGAAGGCAGCTGCAAATTTTTGACGCTGCTGCTGGTACTGTTGAGCCTGCATTCTAGGAATAAACAGAGAAAGAGAAGAAGGTGGCATTAACCTAAGTCAGAGAGGAAGACTCATTGAACCCCTTGATGAAAGGCTCCACTTTCCATTTCTGGAATGTTAGATTTCAGGAAGATTCATATCAATTATCTTGGGTAGAATTTCATCTATTCTCACCAACAGCCATTGAAATAAGTGCTCTTCTGCAATCAATCACGTATTCACTGACAAAATGCAACAGTTCTTCACATAAGACTTCACAACCATTTGCTAAGTATGACTCAGAAATTATGGAAGCAAAAGAACTTTGAAGGCATGCATTTGAACACAGTTCTACAGCCTTGCTGATAGCATCACTTGGTAATATCGACAACTATAGCCATCTTCAAAATTTCTGACAATCTTAGAAACAACCACAGCAATGGCATCACAGTACACAAGACCAATCTGAGTAGACATGATGAATGAATTACCTATACAAGTATATGTTTACTGATTCTATTTAGATGCATACAAAACAACCAATATCTCTGACCTTTTTAAAATCATTGTCATAATCATCACTATCATTTTATCACTATTCCATTACTTATTGATCTACCAAAGAGTGAATCCCAGAAGTAGAGCTAGCACACCTGTGACACATATCAAACACACTTATAAACTCACACGTGCTAAAAATCCTCAAATGTTAAGATATGGTAAAGTCTTCACACTCACTCATAATAGGAAATGCTCACATTTGATGTGAATCAAAAATCCCAAGATATCATTGGAAAGACTCTCCTAGAACTTGAAGCCACCTGTGACAGCCTAGTGTCAATATGGTTACTTGGCCAAAACACCCTTGAGAAGGTCTAGTCCAACCTCCAGGACAACCCACTTCCCAATGGCTATACCAAACTATGGCTGCAGCAACTTGCCTGGCAGTTATTGAGCTCCATCTGCTGTGTTAGTGGTGTTTTACACTTTATGTAAAAATGGTAGTAATGACCTATGGTCACAGGCTGATAAATTTTTTTCCAGAAGTAGTAATAGATTAGTTTACGTGTTTTAACATTCTCTTTAGTGTGAACAATAAAACATTTCATGTATATAAGGGATTGAGGTTATTCTGTTCTCTAATTTATTTTTCTCATTCAAAAATATCTATGAGGTTATATCCTTGCCAGTGAATTTTCCTACTTTTCTGTGGCATTGGATATGCTGCCTCTTATTAGTGTTATTTTTATTTATTTATTTATTTATTTATTTATTTATTTATAATTTTACTTTAAGTTCTGGGATACATGTGCAGAACATGCAGGTTTGTTACATAGGTATACATGTGCCATGGTGGTTGGCTGCACCTACTGACCGGTCTTCTAAGTTCCCTCCCCTCACCCCCCACCCCTAAACAGGTCCTGGAATGTGTTGTTCCCCTCCCTGTGTCCATGTCTTCTCAATATTCAACTCCCAGTTATGAGTGAGAACATGCAGTGTTTGGTTTCCTGTTCCTGTATTAGTTTGCTGTGGACGATGGCTTCCAGCTTCACCCATGTCTCTGCAAAGGACATGATCTCATTCCTTGTTATCGTCGCCTAGTATTCCATGGTACATATGTACCAAATTTTCTTTATCCAGTCTATCATTGATGGGCATTTAGGTTGGTTCAATGACTTTGCTATTGTAAATAGTGCTGCAATAAACATACGTGTGCATGTGTCTTTATAGTAAAATAATTTATATTCCTTTGGGTATATACTCAGTAATGGGATGGCTGGATCAAATGGTATTTCTGGTTCTAGATCCTTGAGGAATCACCATACTGTCTTCCACAATGGTTGAACTTAAATTCTGTAATTTCCAGAATTTACAAGGAACTTAAACAAATTTATTTTTAAAAAACATCAAAAAGTGGGCAACGGATATGAACAGATACTTGTCAAAAGAAGAAATTTATGCAGCAAACAAGCATGAAAAAGAGCTCAACATCACTGATCATTAGAGAAATGCAAATCAAAACCACAATGAGATTCCATCTCATGCCAATCAGAATGGCAATTATTAAAAAGTCAAGAAATAATAGATGCTGGCAAGACTGTGGAGAAATAAGAGCACTTTTACACTGTTGGTGGGAATGTAAATTAGTGTTGTTTTTTAAAACTGATGACTTTGAATTCCAGCGTATTGATGAAGCATACTTCACTTATCAATTAAAATTAATATTTTGAACCTTTAGTTTTTTCCCTGAATCACAAGCCTAGATTAGCTACTCACCATCTCCAGCACTTTCTACAATATAAGATAAGGTGCTTTGGTCTTCCTCCTGAGGCTAAATTCTTATTATATTAGATTGGTGCAAAAGTAATCATGGTTTTCACCCTTAAAGCAATGGTAAAAACCACAGTTACTTTTGCACCAACCTAATTCCTCATGAATGGTCATGCAGAAAATTTCTACTGATTCTGAGGCTTTTCCTCTGCTTTTAATTGGGTGTGAATGATAAAAGAAGCCAATCTAGACTCACCAGTTTGCAAGTCTTTTCAGAGTTCTTTGAGTTGGGCACTGGCACATCAGTACAGCTATATCTTTTCATAATGTATTCAAATGTATTTAAAATTATTAGGTGTAAAGTAAACCAAAGTGGAAGTCTTTGAGCTTTCCCCAGAGGCTGCCTGAGAGCCTACTTTCTGCCACTTTGGCAGAAACTTTTCATTTCAATTTTTTAAAAGATCAAATCAACTTTTTGGTTCAGAACTTTTGAATTACAATATATTTCTTTCCAAGTTAAAATTTACCTGCATTTTCAACAATTACTTACAAATATCAGAAGTATTTAGGTTATTATGAATTAGATTACTGTGAGAATTTGGAAATTCCCATGGAGCATGCAGAACTCTTGGGAGAACTTGCTGCCCGAGCCATGGGATGCTCCTCCATAGTCCTATGATACCTACAAGCAGGAAGAGCGGCCAGAAGCACCTCAGAGCCCACTGGAGAAATATGATAACTTGACAGAAATACAAAGACTCTACCTTCCATAAATAATACAATAACACACATATACACGCACATGCACACACAGAGTTATTCATGGCAAGGTGCTATCACTGGCAAGTTTTAACCTCATCATTTCTAGTTTTATATTGTTAAACTCTTGTTTTCATCATTATTTTCAAAAAGATTTCTCTTAATCCAGCTCTATTCACTGATTTCAAGGGAAAAAAACACACAGGTCAGAATTTCCAAATCAAATAAATTTTTTAGTATAGAATAGTCTACTAAACAAGTCATTATAACTGAAATATGAGCTGACTGGAAAGAAGGAAAGATAAGTACTGGATGGGAGTTGGAGAGATGGTAGAACGGAAATACACTCTATCTGCCTCTGATGTTAATTTAGAATAATTAAGAATATTAAGAATTGAGTAAATGGTAGATTTCAGCACTTAAATCTATGGAAAAAATGCACACAAGTCCCTGTGTACAGTGGGTCACCTGCGTACAATACGTGTTCACCAACAGCTTTGAATTGGAGAACATTGTTCTTAACCTCTTCTCCTCTTCCTTCTATTTTGCCCATCATTCTACTTAAGCCTATATTTTGAGAGCTCAGATTTTTCTGGGTAGATAAATCAATAAAGGTTATTTAAAAAGAAGAGAGTAAGGAGGTTTAAAAATGCAATGATTAAATTTATCCAAAAATTCAAGTATGCCCAAAACAATACCCAACTAGCCTGCTGGTGCCTTGCTGTTGTAGTAAATACTTGAGTAATTAACATATGGGTAGATACAGTTCCCCTTGCTTGTGATATTTGCACAGTTGATTATTTATTTGTCCTTAGCACCAAATGAGGGCAAAAGCTCTTCCTGTATGAAGTTTAACCCTACCTGTTCTCCAACAGAGTGAGTGCCAAATGAGAGCAGAGGCAAAAACATTGATTCTAAGGAAGTGATCAGGATCGTGTCATATTTTTTTAATCTGGGGAAAATAAAATAGTGCAAGAATAAAGCCTTACTAAATTGACTCCATTCTTTTGAAAAATTTACTTATTTCTCACCCCCTTTTTTCTATTGCCATCATTCTTGTACTTGCCCTAATAGACTTAATTGCATATTAACAATTAAGTTGAAGACTACCATATTTGGGTGCTGGTGCCTGGAAATTATTGTTAAGTTATCTCAATGAAATCTGAAACTCAATGATTAAAGGACATTAAAGAAACCAACTTTAAGGGAATGTGTTTATCTATTAAATCTCGATCTCTTTTCTGGATAAATAGCTGATTAGGAAAAGAGAGCTCCCCTTTTCCTTAGTATTTTAATGAGATCTAGAATTTTCAAATGATAATATCTAAAGTAAATACAGGGAAATGATGCTGGAAACTGTACGTTAGCAATCTATTTGGGGGATTAATACAGGATCTGGAGGGAAAAGTTTTGGCCCAAACTTCAGCTATACCACATACTTTTTGAGAGTGTCCTTGAACAAATAATCAAATCACAACGGATTGAACTGTTTTGACATCTGCAAAACGGGGGTGGTTGTAACAATTACTTGAGAGACTTGTCATGAAGATTACAAGATATAGACATAGAGATAACCAGAATATTAACAAATATAGTATTAGTTGCTGAATAAAATTAGTGTACCCCTTTACTCTTATTACTTACTACAAAGAAGTGCTTTTTTATTAAAAAAAAAAAATAAGCATTACACTTTGTTTTATCTAGTATTATCCAAAAGCAAAACAAAACAAACAAAAAGGGACAGAGAGAGACATTATTTAATTGAGACTAACTAAAGTTGTGTTCAGCCTTATCGGGGCACAAATTAAATCTGCCTTTGCTCCTTGGAAGCTTAATAAGAACTCAAGGACCTTCATCCCCAGTATTCCTTTTGCGTTCGCTGAAGTCAAGAGGTCCAATGTTGCAATGTTGATAATTAGGAAATATGTAAATGCAACTTAACTTATATGAAATGAGAAAAAGCATCTCACTTTGCAACTACATATTATACCCTTCATGTGATAA